GACACAATCCATTGAGCCTGTTTGTGCCATGAAACCAGATGCTCGGCTGAGTCTGAATCTGCTGTGTGCTCTTGGATCCGATGCATTAATGGCTCAGTCCGATTTGCACTCATCAGATGAGGGTTGCTGCCTCCTAACGGGACAGTGTCCCCTACGTTTTGATACACAAGGCCCAGGTGGGAGATGCAGATGGGTTAAGAAGACACATATCATTTAAAAGATGAGATGTTCCAGCAAACCATGGGCTGCTGGCCGGGTTAAACCACACCACCATCTCATCTATTAATGCCTTGCGTGTTCAAGTAATAGTTTGTGTTTTCATCAGGTTATGGCTCTATTTTGCATCTGTTCTTAATTTTGGTGATTAGTCAATAGCTGTTGAAGACGGTTGTGTCCATTTTGAGCTGTAACTCCAAGCATAAATGCAGTATGTGATACAGGGGACTTCCATGGTCCCTCTCTTCCAGCCAGACCCAACACAAACCTTGGTATTTACCTGGGCAGAGTCAGGGGGTGCTCAGGAATACACGCAAGTGCTGAAAAAGCAGTGAAAACCCAACTGCGACATTTCCGTAGGTCAAGAGCACTCGCATGTCGGTAGGAAATGCCTCAGACCGTGGGATTTTTCTTCTGAGCGGATCAAGGTGACATGAAGAGTCTCTCCATGAGTCCTGGAGACCCTCCGTCACCAAACAGTGAGCGTGGGAGCAAACACCGGAGGGTTACGGGAGGTGTTTCTGACTTTCCATCCAACACTTCAGCTCGGGGAAAAGTCAAACTCAGGACAAAGTGAAGGAGGAAGCTTGGTAATTTTCTGTCCTTGCTCGAATCCAGTATCATTCAGCTTTGATGTTGCGGTGCTTTGGTCTTCAAGTGCATGTTGACCACGAGAGGCTGAGTGGAGATCAAGTGGTGCCGGGCCCCTGTGTACACAGCACAAGCCCCGGGGCCAAGCAGCTGGCATCACTTTCAGCTCTGTGGCTGAAATGTTTCGCAAGAAAAGCGACTGCTTTCATGGCTCGCTTGCTCCAGAGCTCCTCCGAGCAGTGGCCAGTGGTTAAAGGGAGACCTTGGATGGAGGGGTGAGCAGCAACAGGACCCCCAACCGAATGATAACACAGCATTTGTGGCTTTGTCGCTTCTTTCTGGTCTTTTATTTGGTGGGGTTTGTCTTTCAAAGCCCCTGGGAGGTCTTGGAGATGGCAGCAGGTAGTAGTGGGGAAACAAGGTCAGGAGGAAACAAAAGAGCCAATTTCAATGAAAAAGTTAAATCTGTACTGGGAGCCTCAACATTTACTGCAGCTTAATTGCTTTATTTTCATCCTAAAATGCACTTGGGGAAATGTGGCCATGATGGTCCAGGGATATCCAAGAGGAGACTTGTCTTGTGAGACCGACTGATGTAGTTATAAAAAATAAGTAATAAAAATAATTGGGCTTTCATGCACAAAAACCCATCTTCAGCTGTGAAAAGGCAGCTGCCAGCTAGCAGCCAAGTGGAGGCTGGGGAAGTCTGTACCGGGTGTCACTTGGCAAGCACGGGCAAAAACCTTGGCTAAGGGATCGAGCAAAAATATTCCCTTGTCACAAATCTCAGCTCCAGGAGTAATCACTGCATTCATCCTACCTCATGTGCTCAACACGGGTGAACAGAGAGACCCTGCAAGCTCGTTTTTGAGCTCTGCCAACATCAGATGTTTAAAAAAAAACCACCACAATAGCAATAATAAAAAACGAATCTGTTGAAATCATGGTATCAGCTTCAATAATGAGATTTGCTAAAATAACGCGACTTTCTTAGAGTCAGCTTGGTGACCTTCACCTGCCTCCTGCCGCTGAGCCGCACAAGTTTCCCTCTGCATCACAAGCCAGAAACTTTTAGGAAAAAAAAAAAAAAAAGGAATGGAATGGAATGGAATGGAATGGAATGGAATGGAATGGAATGGAATAGAATAGAATAGAATAGAATAGAATAGAATAGAATAGAATAGAATAGAATATTAATTGAAAAGAAGAGGGAAGGGAAGGGAAGGAAGGAAGGGAAGGGAAGGGAAGGGAAGGGAAGGGAAGGGAAGGGAAGGGAAGGGAAGGGAAGGGAGGGAAGGGAAGGGAAGGGAAGGGAAGGGAAGGGAAGGGAAGGGAAGGGAAGGGAAGGGAAGGGAAGGGAAGGGAAGGGAAGGGAAGGGAAGAATAAGATAAGATCACAGAATTCCCAAATGGGTGAGGCTGGAAAAGACCTCTGAAGATCATTGAGTCCAACCACCCCGCTGAGCAGGATCACCTAAAACACGTTGCACAGGATGGCATCAAGGTGGGTTTTGGGTATTTCCAAAGAAGACTCCACAGCCTCTCTGGGTAACCTGTCCCAGTGCTCTGTCACCCTCACAGCAGAGATGTGCCCCCAAATATTGAGCCAGAACCTCCTGTGCTTCAGTTTGTGCCCATTGCCTCTCATCCTGTACTGGGCATCACTGAAAAGAGACCAGCCCCATCCTCTTGATGCCCTCCCCTCAGGTATTTATACACACTGATGAGGTCTCCCCTCAGACTTCTCTTTTCCAGGCTAAACAAGCCTGGGTCCTCACACAACAGGTGCTCAGAGTGAAATGAAATGGAATAAAATAATGGAATCATGGAATATCCTGAGCTGGAAGGGACCCAGAAGTATCATCGAGTCCAATTCCTGGCCCCACACAGCTCCTACCCAAAATTTCAGACATGTGACTGAGAGCAAAGTCCAAATGCTTCTGGAACTCCGACAGGCTTGGTGCCGTGACCGCGTCCCTGGGGGGCCTGTCCCAGTGCACGACATGGTCATAAAATGAAATAGGAAGTGACAGGGATTAATGACATGAAATAATGGACAGAAATGAAGTAGAATGAAATGAAATACATGAATAAGTGAATAAATGAAATGAAAAATAAAGGAAAGGAAAGGAAGAAGGGAAAGGAAAGGAAAGGAAAGGAAGGAAAGGAAAGGAAGGAAAGGAAAGGAAAGGAAGGAAAGGAAAGGAAAGGAAAGGAAAGGAAAGGAAAGGAAAGGAAAGGAAAGGAAAGGAAAGGAATAGAAAGAAAGGAAAGGAAAGGAAAGGAAAGGAAGAAGAAAGGAAAGGAAGGAAAAGGAAGAACGGAAAGGAAAGGAGGAAGGAAAGGAAAGAAGAAGGAATAATGAAATGAAAAACATAGAACAAAATTAAATGAAATAAAATGAAATAAAACGGAATTTGGAATTTTGGAATATCTGAATACAATAAAATAAATAAAGAAATAATGAAACAAAATGAAAAGAAAGAAAAAAAAGAATAAAATGGGATGAAATAAAATGAAATGAAATAAAATGGAATAAATAAAATGAATGAAATGGAATGAAATGAAATTACATGAAATAAAATAAAAAATAAAATAAATGAAATGAAATGAAATGAAATAAAGAAAATAAAATAAAATAAAATAACATAAAATAAATAAATAAAATAAATAAAATAAAATAAAATAAATAAAATAAATAAATAAACCAAAACCACCAACACCAAACCCAGGGAAGCAGCGGCACCAGCTCCCCCCCCCCCCCCCCCCCCCCCGGTACCCTCCCCGTGTGCGCTCAGCGGCCGGGCGGGGCCGGGCGGCGCAGCCCCCCCTGCAGAGGGGCCGTACCCTACCGAGCCTTCCCGTGCCGTACCGAGCCCTATCGCCCCGTATCGCCCCGTATCGCCCCGTATCGCCCCGTACCGAGCCGTGCCGGGAGCTGCGGGCCCGCCGGTGGCGGTGTCGGCGCGGTGCGGAGCGGGGCGCAGCATGAGGCCGCGGCCCCCCCCGCAGCATGGAGGGCTTCGCCGCCCGCACCTACGGCACCGGCGGCCCGGACAGCCGGCCCCTCTTCGGGGAGACATCGGCCAGGGTAAGGGGGTGGGCAGGGGGGCAGCCCAAAACGGAGGAGGGATCCCCCCGAGGTGGGATGCAGCCCCCCCGGGAGGGGAAGGGCAGAGGGAGGGGTCCCCAGTGATGCGCCCCTGCTGCGCTGTGAGAGATTTGGGAGCTGGGACCCCCCCACAGGTCCCTGCCCCATGGAGAGGAGCTGCCCGAGAGCGGAATTAATTAAGCAGGGGAACAAACGAGGAAAATCGCAAAATAAGAAAGAATCCCCCCTCCCCCTCCCCCCCCCCCCATCTTCCTCCTGGGACAGCAGCGAAGCTGCCCCCAAAGGAAAAAAAAAAAAAAAGGAAAAGCAACCCCCCAAAAAAACCAAATCCCAAACCTAAGTCATCCCCAAATCCGAAAAGAAAAAAAAAACCCTTTGAATGACCAGAATTATAAATAAATGAATAATTAAACCCCTGCAGCCCCCCTCCTAATTAGTCCCTGAAATCAAAAATACAGAAATGTCCCGCCCTGTATCCCCCCATGCCCAAGAAATAAAAAATGCAGCTCCAGAATAATCCCCCAAAGCCAGATCCCCTCTCCAAATAAAAGGGAAGCTCCCCAAATCCTCCCTCCAAAAGATAAAACCCAAACTTCCAAAAAACGCCCCCAAAGCACCCTCTGAGCCCCCAGCCCTGATTGGGAGCAGCAGCTCCAGGTGTGGAGAGCCCCAAGGTTTGGGGAAGGGGTTTGTCCTGTCCCCCCACCCCCGGAGCTGTGACCCCACTGAGCTGCATTTTGCTGATTTTTTGGGGTGTTTGCTGGGGAGCTCCCTTTGGTGCCCCCCCATCAATCCGGGGTGCACTGCGGTGGGTGACGTGCGGCGGCGCTGGCTCCACAGGTGTCAATCCCCTGTAATCCCCCAAAGCCTCCCGACTTTGGGGTGGGGGCCGGGAGCTGGTGCACGGGGGTGTTTATGGGGTCAGACTCCCTCCTAAATCCCGATAACGGGGGGTGCAGGTGGTTCCTGGATCGGGAGCTGAAATGATATGGGGTTGTTCCTGGGTTGGGGTGCAAAATGGGACACTGCTGGGGGCTTGGGACCTACAAGGGGATGGATGAGGGGTGAGGGGGTGTGTGGGGTGGCCGGTTCACAGCTGGGGGATTTGGGGAAGCCACAAATGGGGTTTGGGGAAGCTGCCATAACCGGGCAGGTCCTGGGGTCTCAATGGTGCCACTGGAGCCTGACAGCAGGACTGGCCGTGCTGGTCCTCTGCCAAACCCCAAAATCTCCGTCCCCGGTCCAGCCTTTGATCCCGGACTTCTGCGGTTCCCCTCCTTTGATCCCTTTTTTCCCCTTTGATCCCTTTGATCCCCTTCTCTCTGCGGTTGCGGCTCTGCTTGCAATGGGTAGCGGAAAATAAGGAATTCTGCACATCAGCTCACGTGCTCGGATGTGGATCCAGCATCCTGCACGGCACCCCCTGCCCATCCGATAGGGCCCCAAGGATTTTTATTTATGGATTATTTTGGGGAAAGCTGTTGTAGGGGATAGGCAGCAAGTGGTTTCTCAGTGGCAGAGGGACAAAGGCTCCCTGTGCGGGGCTGAATGGTTCCTTCGGGATTTCCTGGAGGTTGCTTAGGAACAAACGGCCGGAGAGGTCCGGAGCTGGGAATTGTCTCAAAACCAGTGAACTTTGCCTCAAAACCGGAGCGGGTCTGGAGGGAGAAGCGCACGGGCATGGTGAGGTGGTGGGGCATCGATCTGCTTCTTGGCATGGGGTGGCCTTGGCCATGGGATGGGGCTGGGGGCTTCTCAGCCTGCCTGCAGGGTGGGAAGGACCACGGAGATGTGCAGAAAGGGGTTTGGGACCTCCTCTCACCTTCTCGCTCTCCTGGTCCCCAAGCGGGTGGTGTGGGGCTGAAGCCAGCTCCCGGGCAGGACCACGCTTCGGGACACGACCCGGAGGTGAAAGGCTCCGTCATCCCCAATCCCCTTAACTGCCTCGGCCTCCTGCTCGTGTATTTTTAACCTTTTTGCTGCTCTAAGCCGCCCGGAGCTGCAGCCTCTCGCTGCTTTCGCCGAGCCTGGGATTGCAGGGTCAGGGGCTCTAAGCTCCAGCTCCTGAAATACCTCGCTCTGCCGGCGGCGTGTTCGGAAAAAATTTAGCACCCTCGGGTTTCACCGTGGGGAAAGCCTGGCCTTAGGTTGGTTACACGGGATGGCCACTTGTTGCTGCTCTGCTTTTGCAAAGCTGTCTCCCAGCTGCCGACCTCCTGCCGCCTCTTTTTGGCAGCAGGGAGCTGAGCCCAACTCTGTCCCCCCTCTGTAAAATCAGCTTCGTGGGCTCGGCAGAGGAACACCATCGGCCTCTCCTCGACCAGAGCTACCTCTGGGGTTTAGCTCTGTTGGAAGAGCCCAGCTGCAGGAGTCAGTGTGCTCGCAGGGAGGTGGTGATGCTGCATTTCATCCTGTTCATTGCTTCTGCTAATCTGGTCTGGATTTATTTCTCACAGCTCCCTTTTTGGACTCTGTGGTGGTTTTCTTGGTGGCTCCCGAGGTGTAGGAGCACAAACGGTCTGGTTTTACATGGAGGAACAAACCCCACAGTTTATTGCATTTTTTTTTTTCTCATGTGTGTGTATTTCTCCTCTCTCCTCAGGACAGAATCATCAATCTAGTTGTCGGCAGCTTGACATCCTTGCTGCTCGTGGTAAGTACCCTGTGTCCCTGCCTGTGTTTTGTGCCTCCCGTAGGCGACGAGGTGGAAACCAAAGCTCCTGGGGGAAACCACAGCTCCTCCCAGCAGTGGACAGCAAAACTTCACTGACTGAAGTGGTTTGGGGTCCAGGTGGTAACGTACGGGGCCTGTCTTTTGAAACTCTGACTAAGATGGGAAAGGAGAATGTCTTCCCTCGAGCCATTTGATCTCCTGCCATGATTTAAGATCTGGCTGTTGCCTGTAAGGGTCTGAGGAGAAACTGGCAGGCAGCTGTGGTGCCCCAGCAGTCACTGAAGGGCCTCTCATCTTCTCAGACCTGAAGGATGGAGAGAGCAAAACATTTATTTGTGTTTTCCCCCATACAGGTCACTCTCATCAGTGCTTTTGTCTTCCCGCAACTACCTCCAAAACCCGTGAACGTATTTTTTGCTTTCTGCATCTCCCTGTGTTGCATTTCTGCCGGCATACTTGTAAGTACCACCCTGCCTACCTGCATGACTGGATGAAATATGAGTAAAATCTGACTTACGGGGTGCCTTTTTTACACTCCCCTAGAGGAGCCTGCCCATATCAACTCCAGCTCCAGGTCCCTCAGCACCAGATTTCTCCTCCCAGAAAGGGAAGAGGAGCTGCAGTGAGCAGAACAGGGGCAGGCACTTACAGGCTTCACCTTTCCCCTTAAATTTTAAGCTCTTTGCATGGGTCAGAAACTTCCGTAGGCCTCATTTTTTTTTTGTAGCTGTACCACTAGTTATCCTTTTACAAGCAGCTTATTGTCAGGTTTACTTTAGCGTTTGCACAACAAGCTTACTGCTGCTAATTAGCAGCTGCTCGAGGAAGAGTGCAGGCACAATCTGTAATTAATATTGGGAAACTCTGGCGGCAGTTATCTTGGTGAGACTTTAGGAGTGTCATTGCAACAACAGGAATAATTTATGCTCCACAACAACATGCACTGGCGTATTTACCTTGAACCACGCGTTCCTTGGCCCTAAATGACCAGCTATATTTATATGGCCTTGAGAGCAGCTTGCAGTTTTTGTTGAGGAGTCCCACTGTGACTCATTTGGTAGGCAAATCCCTAACGGTTTGTATTCTGTGAGGCCACTGCAGGGAAAAGAGGGGAAGGATGCAGAAAAACATGTCAATGACAGAGAGGTGAGCAGTTTTGGCACCGCAGAGCTCAGCGTGCTAAGCCAACTGCTGCTGAGCAGCACAGCTGTGATGCAGGGCTCCTGACCTCTGCGACAGTCACCTGTGGCCTCCTGCAGACAAGCGAGGCCTGGAGAGCAGAGCAGTGAGATGGGGAATGCAGACAGCATGGGGGCAGGCAGGCACCTGCAGAGGTCACTGACCTGTGGGGTTCAGGGGACAAGATGTGGTGCCAGGGAGCTACAGCAGGCAGGATTTCACCTGGGTGACAGCCTGAGGCTGAGGAAGAAAGCGATCGAACAGTACAAGAGCAGAGGGTTGGTTCTGAACAGCTGCAGCATCCTGAGAGTTGGTCCCAAGTACTGGAAAAAGGAAAAGGAAGGTCACCATACCGAGTGCCTCCTCCCTCTGCTGTAGCTTCTCCTACTTGGAGCTCCTGGAGCTTCTGCCAGCTGTCATCTGGGGAAATTTCTGTACTGAGGCCCTGTCCCTCGCTGCTGGGTAAGCTGGGAAGCTGCTCTGCGACGCCTGGTCAGTGCCTCTGGTTCCACAGCTGGTTGTCTCTGCAAGACAGATGGTGTAAGGTGAAATGCTGCATTTGTCCCATCTGTCCTCAAAGAGCTGGCTGTAGCCAGGTCTGAGCGTCAAAAAACCAAATACGCTCTTCAAGAAAGCTGACAACCTGTGTCTTAGGCAACCTGGCACCCTAATTTCACTGACAGCCATGTTTTGGGGGAAAACACCTTGCCAAATTCTTGTTGGTGTATTCCACAAGTATGGTAAGATATAGATGGTATTTCTCAATCATTAAGAAAATTTGCTGGACTCTGAGCTTTGTCCTTGTTAGCCAGAGAGCTAGGTTGTTCAAAAAAATAAAAAAAAATAAAAATATATACAATTCAACTTTAGTTCAGTTGCTATAGAAAGTTTCCTAAGAAGAAATACCTGGAATTTTTAAGTAATACAAACTCATTCATTCTTCTAGATCTACTGGTATCGACAAGGAGACCTGGAACCTAAATTCAGGAACCTGATTTACTATATATTATTTTCTATTGTCATGCTGTGTATATGTGCCAACCTGTACTTCCATGAAGTGGGTAAATGATGGACACGGGGAATGCCCAGCACCGACCAGACTGCTTTCAGCTCAGCTCTCAGCTCTACCTGAGCTGTTGAAGTGAAGACAATCAGCCTGAGAGGAAAGAAATGGGTTGTGCAAGGATCAATCAGTACATGATTTTCATGTAAATGTATATGTAATGTCCCTCTTGGCAGGGAGAATTATTGCCATAAGATGTGACATTCTGCTTTTTTCTGAAGAGCTACTGTTGCACTTAATGAACATTCCAGTTGTACTGATGTTTCAGAATGGCACAAGCTTTTTCATTTTGGAAAAAAAAATGCATTTTTTATTACTGTACAAATAAACTGCAGCATTGCAAGGATCTGTAGCAGTATAAATAAATGGCATCTTACAGTTACATAAGACAAATACTCTTTATTTTGTTTAAACTGAATATACAATTATTTCTGTTCCCTAGGCAACCATTTGAAACTACAACTTGTTTTTCACATTAACAAAACCACAGACTGAAAAAGACCAACTCCTGATTATGAAGAGCTAATTACAGAAATAAATAAAATAATTTATACACGAGTCTTTAATTTCTATAGCTTCTTCTTTCAATCCCTAGCTAGCAGGCTGCTGCTCAGCCTAGTGTCTGTTTCAGTCCTTGAATGTAGGAATTAATCGGCTTCCTCTGCCTCCAGGCCCTGTGCCCAAATTCTCACAGAGCTCTTTCTCCACGACTTTGCCACCTCCTCACCACCCCCCATCCTGTAACTTGCTGCATAAATCACCTCCGGAGAGGTGGCTGGTAGTGTCATGTAAACAGCGAGAGACAAACGTTCCAGCCTGCTCACAACAACCTGCAAAAAGAAAAAGAGTTTAGGGAGAAGCTGGTGGGTTCCAGCAGCTTCCCTCTTCTACAGGCCTTCCCTTTTTGTTCAGCTTGCTGTAGTGATGAAGGAAAAAAAATAATTACATTTTCCAAAAGTGATCTTTCTGAGCTCTATCCGTCGCCAGCAACGGACTGCTCAGGAACAAGCAGACCAGGCCAACCTGATAAGCATCAGTCTCGAGTCCTACGCTGCAGATGTACTGATAAGCCAGATGAGATGGGAACGCAGACCATGGCTTTACGCTGCTGCCCACGCTCCCTGAAGTCTTTGATGGAATACATTTCTTCCTGAAATGTAACAGTCTTGCTCCATGTATTACAAAAGTCAGTAAGTGCAGAAATTCTCACCCATTCTTCATGAAACATGTGCAAACCACTTCTTGTTGCGGCACAAAGAGGCTACGGTCCACAACCCTTGACTTCTGTCCAGTTTTCAGGGTGTGTGGTTCAACACACTACTAGAAAGTCAAATCAGAACTGACCACGTGGATCCCAGCACTGAGCAATCCAACAGGGCTTCTGTCAAAACACTGAAACACTCTGGCTGAAATGTCGCACATCAGGCTTCGGCTGGCTGCTCTGTAACCCTTTACAAATGAGGTAAAATAGCCTGAGCAGGAAAAGTGCACTGTAGTCATCTCAAACTGTAAGGTTTTGTTTAAAGACACGGACTGACTGCTTTCTTTGGAAACGTGGCACAGGGTTGCAACTAATTCCACAATGCGAACATGGTCGATACAAAATGGACACGATTGCTGCTTCCTTCAGTGACAGCTCACTAAATCTTCAACGTCCTTTGAATCTTCCAAGTCAGGACTGCCCAGTGATGAGCCAATAATGTTTGACCCATCTCCGTGATGCTGTAGGATAGGATCTGGCAGGAGACACAGTACATCAGAACTCATTATTTACTGTTCCATTGTAACAAGATATAAAATACACAGGACAGAAGTGCAATCTGAGCTTTGAAACAATTTTAAGGAATGTTACTCCATTAAACTAGTCAGTTCTCCATTTCAAGTTTCAAGGGAAGCCACGACTAACATGGATGCAACCAGTGTGACTCGTGTTTGCATTCACCACGTATTTACTCTATCAGGCCCAAGGCTGATCCTCAGATGGCTCTGCTTGAGATCCTTCCTCCAGAAAGGAGGATTTGTTAGGAGCAGCACTGGGAGAGCACATCTAATGTTGCTTCTAAGACTAAGATGACTCTTGGCACGGGTAAGTGTGTCAAAGCTAGCAAGCCCCTCCAGGTGAGTGCTGTGCAAACACCCCAAAGAGCCCAGCCCCTCACCATGAGAGCTTATTGAGTGGTTTATCAAGAGTAACTGCGTTTCTGATGCCTCTGGTTTTCTCTCAGATGAGAAACCAATTTCATTCCAGCACAGGTATGAAGAAACACACCAGAGTTACTCATTAGCCTGTGTGTACTAATTCAAGGCTCAAGGGCAATGGAAACAGCTCAGTGAAGTCCTGAAGCAGCTGCTGTTCGGCTTTTCCCACGAGGCTGAGATTTTTTTCCAACTTTTACTGAAGTAAGTGGGGTAATCAACGTGCTTAAAGTTTCACTGCAATGATTTGGAAAATAATTCAAGAGAAGACAAGGATCATTGCTTAAAAGAACTCAAAAGTGCTATACTGATATAGTGAACGCTAGCTCCGGCATCAAATACACATACATACCTGTTAAGGTTGTTAGGGGCAACACCGATTCACTGTCTATATCATCTGACGTCTGGATAAAACCATGGGAGGAAGGAACAATAAGCACAGTTTCATCATCTATCGTAGGCTGATCAACTTGTTCTATTGTTGGAGAGCCCAGGTCCTGCACAACACAGAAGGACAGGACATGAGAGTGCATTTTTGGTAGCATGTGCCAAAAAACATGCTTTGGCCGGCCATATGCCATAGTAAGTAGACTCCCTGGATGAATTTTATCTCATTAAATTGAAATGTCAACATCTGAGCTAATTACTTCACATAAGATACATTTCATCCTACTGTGCGCATCTAAAATGAGGTAAGAGGAATTCTACCCTGTGAACAGTACAAGACATGGGGAGAGGAAATGACAGATTGCATGGTGGTGATAAAATGTTCCCATGTAAGTCAAATACTCTGTCTATAAACAGGAATAATCTTTCCCACTACCTGCTGCCTAGATGTTCTGAGAGACTGAAGCAATACCTTTACAGCATCTCCCAGCTCCACAAATGTGCTAACTTTACCTGAACTTAATAACTTAGTTTCACAACTCCTGCCTCTGTGTCAAGTTTTTACAGCTCAGAAGACCAATTTGAATTGCTGTGCCTTGTCGCATAGCTTGCTGGAGGTAGGGTGGCTCCAAACTTTTTTACTTCAGGGCACAGTAAGCCTGACCTGCAAAAGCAGCTTTGTGCAGAGAACACAGCTGAACCTGCCCACAATAAGCAGCACGGCTTAGAACTGAGAAAAGGAGGTGTGAAAAAACACAACATTGAGACAAACTGGGCACCTTTCCCAGTCAGAAATAACAGAACTCTGCAGCACAGCTGCTTACTTCCCACCACCCATACCCACACTGCCAATATAATACTTGCAAGTGCATAAAAATAACACTGACTTAGAGAAAGCAACATTTAGGCACGTCTTTCTAGAGTAACTTTTCATTTAGAAACTCACAGACAGTCTCTATTTCCTGGAATTTAAGCACACACATCAAACTTGAACGTGACTAGAAGGAGAAAGCAAATTAGAATTATAAACTCAGTTTACTGTTCAGTACAGGAAGTTTAGTACTTCTTGATACCCTGCTAGCTATAAATGATTCCTGCAAAGTTCAATTAGGAACTCTGCTTTCTGCAGAAATTTACCAATTCCAACTTGAGAAGCTGCATTTTTAAACAGAGTAGAAAGTGGATGGGCTGCCTCAACTGCTGAGAATTTTATCACAACCATTTCAATTATGAGATAATAGAAAATCCTCTGCTTTGATGTATTCAGGAGCCAAACACCTGTGTAGTAGCAGACTGTAGAGGCAAACAGTGATCTTCCTCTTGGTAAGAGCATAATGGACAGGCAGTGTCTGTTTACTTTTGCAAAGACAAAGGTTAACTAAGTCCAAACGTATTAACAATGGATTTTTCAACATGGATATAAAGCAGAATTACAGCAACAGTAAAGCGCACTGTTCTGGAGAACAGGAGGTGGTATTCAAATCTAATTCATCTCTTTCCACAGTCTAACCTTATCAGACTTCTAGAGAAAGAGGCAGTTTTCTACCCACTAAGTAGAGTTACATTCATTTTAGCATCTGTTTTCCTTGCCTTATTCATTATGATAGTTTCAGCAAAAGAAAGATGGAGGAATTTAGTATAAACACTCCAAATGCATGAAATCATTTGGATAAATTTGTTTCTGCACCTGAGGTGTTGAAGCTGAATAAAATCAAGGTCAGAGAGATAGATGGACTTAAATGCTTCTCAGTCCCATTTAACAGATACTTAACTGGGACTACACTGTTTAATAGAAGTCCTCAAAGTGGAAACTGTGTGCACCTAGAAATACATTATTAGATTCACAGGGCAACAGCTGAATATTCTATCTCACCTCCACTGATCAGCAGACTATCTACCTGTAAAGTGCATGCATCATACAATTATCAGCCTGGCTGAAAGTAACAGCACCAAATGGTAACAAAAGACAGCTGTTCTGTGCTACAAATACCACCACTTTCCACTGCCCTCCCTCAAAAGCACCCTGAGTAGAGAAGCAGCTCCACAGCTAGGGAGGGATTCAGTGCCCACAATGAAGTCACATCTAAGCCTGAGTTCCAAATTAAATTCTACCTCTTTCACAGCCATAACATATTAGCAAAGCTCAGAGACAGAGGATCTGAATAAAAATGCTCTTGGAGCTATGATACGCATTAAATCACTGACATTCACATGAATAGCTTAACATAAAGGTCAAAGATGCAATGAAATCTTTCTGAATACAGAGAGAGGTAAAAGGATCAGGTATCACGCAGTCCCTTACCTCAGTGACGTAGGTGCTGGGTAAATCAGAGTGAGAATCCTCCTCTGGTTTCAGGTTGGCATCCGAAATCTCCTCTTCAGTTTTTACCATAACTCCATCCATCAGCTCACTCCTATTCCTGCTGCTGAATTTTGAGGCATCGCCTTCACTGTAGGCTGCCTGTTCTTCATCGCTGAGCTTGGACTGATGGATGTCGTCTGGGAAGCTGTTTGTTTCTAGGGTGTCAGGAGGATCTGTCAGGTCAGCTGGCTGAATGTCTGAATCAACAGTAAGTTCTGCCTGAGTGACAGAGGAGGAGATGTCTTCAGCAGCAACAGTACGGATGATGACACCTGGTGTGTGGCACTGTACTGTGACATTGTCACTTGTACTTAACAAGTGCTCTGGCTGTAAGCAGTATGTGCAAAAAAAAAAGAAACAAACAAAAAAAACCAACTTAATAGACTTTTTTCCTCCCAGCATCCTCACATCTTTCGGCACACAGAAGCAAAAGAATT